AAGAAGAAGAAGAAGAAGAAGAAGAAGAAGGAGAAGGAGAAGGAGAAGGAGAAGAAGGAGAAGAAGGAGAAGAAGAAGAAGAGACAGACAGACAGAGACAGAGAGACAGGCAGAGACAGAGACAGAGAGCAAAAAGGAGTAGAGGGAGGACCAAGTAGCCGAAATGGCAGGGTTATATAGGAATGAGAAGCTTGGGGAAGGAAAGCCCTTGAGCTGGAGAAATTTCGGGTAGGGAGCAGGGTGAGAAGAGTCAGAATGCCAGCATGGACTCTGTAACAGGTGCTTTGTGAAGCTGAGAGAGCCTAAAGGCCAGTGTGCTGATAGGCACCGGTTAGCCATTTGTCCTGAGTTCCTTTTGGACCTACAGATAGTTCATCAGTAGCATATGGAAGCACAACACACTATTGTATTTTGATTTTTTATCCTGCAAATTTACTTAATTTCTTTATTCCAGGTTTTATTTTGTTGGAGCCTTGCATTTTTATGTATAATATAATAAATACCTGCAAACAGACAAAATTTGACTACTTCCTTTCCAGTTTGGATGTCTTTTATTTCTTTCTTGCCTCACTGCTCTATTAGGACTTTTAGTGCTGTGGTGGAAGTGGACATCCTCATCTTTTCTTGTCTATAAGCCTCCACGTTTGAGTGTTATGGTAGTTTGAATGTATTTGGCCCCCATAAGCTCATAGGGAGTGGCACTATTAGGAGATGTGGCCTTGTTGGAGGAAGGATGGTCTTGGAGGAGGCTGGATGACACATGCCTTTAATCCAGACCTTGAGGCTAGAGGGCAGACCTTTAATCTGGGTCACACCTTCTGTTGGAAGTGTCACTGTGGGGGGCGGGCTTTGTAGTCTTTTTCTCAAGCTTCACTCAGTGTGACAGTCAGTGGACTTCCTGTTGCCTCTGAGTCAAGATGTAGCACTCTCAGTTCTAGCACCATGTCTGCCTGTATGCCACCACACTCCCCATCATAATGGACTGACCCTCTGAACTGTAAGGGAGCCACCTCAATTACCTGTTTTCTTTATAACAGTTGCCGTGATCATGGTGTCTCCTCACAGCAATGGCAAACCCTAACCAAGACAAGTGTCAACTATAAAGTTAGCTGTATAGGTCCTCTGCATATACCTCATGGTCGTGTAGCTTGGTGTTCTTGTGGGACTCCCAACAGTGGGAGTGGGGAGTGTCTCTGACTCTTGTGCCTTGTTTGGGATCCTTTTCCTCTTGCTGGGTTGCCTAGTACAGCCTTGATATGAGGGTTTGTGCCTAGTTTCAGTGTAACTTGTTCTGCCATGTTCTGTTGGGAAACAGAAGAGGAGTGTATGGAGGAGAGAGGAGGAGAGGAGAGGGACTGGGAGGAGTGGAGGACCAGGCTGAGAAACTGTGGTCAGGATGCAATGTATGAGAGAAAAAAAATGTAGTTATAATAACAGTGTAAAGAAATTCTATAGACTTAGGAGGGAGCAATGCCATGCTAATGCAATTATAATTTCTATTCAGATGGAATATGAGCTTTCTAGGATACAGAAGAAAATTCCTGTGCATGGTGTTACAGATGGCCAGGGCAGGAGAATTATGACTTCAGCCCAGCCTGGGCTGTGTAATCAAACCCTGCCTCAAAGTTAAAGGGATGGAGGGAGAGGAAAAGAGGAAGAATATGTTACAGCCAAACTCTGTCCTATCCCTAGATTCTTATTGGAGGCATGAGTTAAGATGGACATTGCACCCTAAAAGCAACATCATATGGCTGCAGATTCATGAGATATTGGAAAAGAAACCTGAAAGCATCTTCAAAACTCACTTATTATAAAATAAAGAGAGGAATTATTCATTGCCATTTTTCAAAATGAGCATTGATGCCATCCAAGGACACAATAAAACAAACAGATAAGGTGCAAAGTGAAGAACTGAGGGGGCAAAGCCCATCATCTTGTGTTGTCAAACTTTGATGTTTATTTTAAGGTTTAATTTAAGTAATTTGTGTTGGATAAAATTACAAATTTCAAAGTACATGATAAAGTAGTAAAAAGTGATGTTTGGAATGTAAAAAAAAAATAATGAAGTTAGCTGCATTTTCCTTCTGTGGCTTTTATTTAAATTCTGCTATGTCCCACTAATGAGTTTTGTTTATTGCACAGTAAGTTGTCAGCTTGGCTCAAAAATTGTAAACTTTTTCACCCCGACATCAGGAATAAGTTAAAGTCTCTGTTAAGTATTTTTTAGCCTTCCCTGATCTTCCTGGACACCACCCAAACGTGGAGTTCAGGAGTCGGTTTCCGATTTAGGCGGAGTATATTTATAGTGAGCTTGGAACTTCTCTGTTGCTCTCCTTTCCTGAATTCACTCTCCAGCTGCTGTTAACCCTGAATGCCAGTGCAGGTGGATCTGTCTTCAGATTTTCAAGACAACGAGACTACATATTTTTATCCAGGTTCTGGGTGCCCTAGTCAGTACCTAGTGAAGAGCTGTGACATGGGAAAGTGCCCCAGGGCCTGTTTACTCCAGTTCTCCCAGGGCCTGCTCCTGACGGTCACTTTATATATTTTGTAATTCTAAGATCCCACTGACTATAAGATCATTATCAACTTAGTAATATATGCAGGGGAAAAGCCTAAATGTGCATACCAATTATAATATGATAATTTCATAAACAAAACCGAAAAAATCTATGTTACACTCAAGGAATTAATGTGTACACTGTTTACAAGAGTTGTGTGTTACAAAGAAAGAAAGGATGAAGTTAAAAATGAGCAGTAAGGAAGAGGGCTAGGGAGAGGGCTAGGTCCGTTAGGTGCTTGCCACACAAGCATGAAGACCTGAGTTTGATGCTCAGCACCCACTAAAAGCCAAGCATCCTTGGACATGCCTGTGATTCCAGTGCTGAGAAGACTGAACAGGAGAATCCCTGGATCAAATCAGTGAGCTCTGGGTTCAGTGAGAGACTGACTGAAAAATAATGTGGCAAATGACCGAGGAAGATACCCAACATCGATCTCTGGCCTCCACATGTGCGCGCACACGTACACATAATAGCAATAATAAAGTGATAGTCATAATATGCCAGGCAGCTGGAAAAAAGATAGTCACTAACACAGACCAGTGCAGGTAGGTGTGGTTCAGTGGCAGAGTGCCCAGCATACCTAAGGCTTGGTTTTAATCTCCAGAACCACAAGTACAATTTCCGGCTAACTAGAGTTTAGAAAGTCACCGTTTATGGGTGAAGATTAGGTTTCTCAAAGTGTTTGTTTTCTTTGATGTTCATGACATATGGATTACCCACCCTATCTTAGCTTCCAATCATTATGCTGATTTTTTCATTTTTATATTCCTTTGATAGTTTTAATTGATATATGAGGAGTGAGAAGGAGTACGCTTTGGAGAATAGGAATTCGCCTCTTACATCAGCATTTTCTTCAGAGTATACAGCTCTCTCTAAAAGAAAAAAACAGTAAAGTGATAAGAATACTTTAAAAGGACAAAGCCACAGAGTAGGGTTACAAGACATGACTTTAATGGTACTTTTGTTGGTAGAGTTTCTTCTGTTTCCTTTCAGATCATTCTACCAAGCATGAATTTGATACTGAGGATATGAAATGCAACTCTACGGAGATCTTACCTGTTGCAAGCCCATATGAACCAGAGTGCAGTAAACCAGGTAGAGTTTTTGCCTAAGTCATTGACTTACCAAGAGTTTGCTATATGATGTAAAAGCACACTTATAGTCTACTGTGAACCAGTTTCCTGTTCAAACCTTGGTCATTGTGATCCTACTTGTCATCTTTTCCCCTTTTCTGCTCCTTTATATTTGTCCTGTCAGGATCTCGTCAGCAGCAAAAGTGGGTCATAAACATAGCAGAGTTACAAATATTGGAGAAGATGAATGGAGGAAATACTACTGAAATTCAAGTACAAATCTTGGGCTTGAGAGATAGCTTAGTCAGTAAAGTGCTTGCCACACAAGCATGAGTACCCAAGTGCAATCCCCAGCAGCCAGGCTAGCTGAACTGGCGCACCATAGGTTCAGTAACAGCCCCCGTACCAAAAACTATGCCGGAGAGTAATTGAGTAAGACACCCAGCATTGACTTCTGGCCTGCACACTGGTGTGCATGCATATGTACTCCTACCCACACACAGTCCTAAATTATAGCTGACTAAATATACCTTTCTTTTTTCAGTATTTTATTTCATGTGTGTGCCCGAGTGTATACATGTGCATCATGTGTATGCAGGCGCCATCTGAGGCCAAAGGAAGGCATCAGATGCCTTGAAACTGTAGTTGTAGGTGGTTGTAAGCCACCCAATGTGGATGCTGAGACTCAAACCTGGGCTCTGTGGAAGGGTAGCAAGTGCTCTTCACTACTGAGCCAACACTTTAGCCCCACACTTTATATTTCACTTCAATATTAGTCATTTTGTTGATCTTTGTTATACTTAAAAACACACCCTTTAAATCACGTATTATTTAGTGGGGTGTGGGTGATGCCACGGCGCCTGTACAGAGGTCAGAAGGCAGTTTGTGAGTATCAGTTCTCTCCTTCCACCATGTGGATTCCTGGGCTTGAACTCAGGTCATCAGGGCATCTTACTCACCCTGTTACACTCCTTAGAGCAGGGACATCATTCTCTGCTCTATCTCTGTTTTATCATTATGATATCAAATTTGGAAACTCTGCATCATGTTTTGTTCCAGAATAAAGCCAAATTGTGTTCTTTTTAAACTCTATTGATGAGTCTGTTACTTTGTTACATTTGCACTTGGAGCACATGAATATCTACTCAGGTGTTTGTTTACTGCTCTGTACTCTACTACTTTTCAATAAAGGCAGATCTATTTTTTCAGGCCCATTCTATTAATTTGTAACTCCTGACAAGGACATCCAGAGTCCTGACTCATTACGGTGAAGAATTACTCCTGTATTTCCCTAGCATCACCAAAATTTACTGTGGAAATAAAATAGTCCTATCTCCTAAGTGCTGACAACATAAGCTGTCAGAATTAAAACTCTTAGTCTCCACTAAGCTCTTGAGATTTGTCCTACACAGAAAACTCAGTAAAGATCAGCGTCATTGTAGCCTTTTAAAGTCACCACTGTCATAATTGAGATACCAGGTGATAAATCTGTAGTTCTTTATGTAGATATAAATTTAGGACTGTTACTTTGTATCTCTAGACTCTAAATTTCTTGTGTTTTGTGTGTGCGCGCACATATATGTGAATGGAAGCCAGAGGTCAGCCTGGGCATCCTTCCTGGAGCCTCTTTGTTTTCCCAGATAGACTCTCTCACTGGGAGTTTGGGCTCACTGCTCAAGGATAGGCTGCGGTTCCAAGTGCATGCCATCATGCCCAGCTTTTTACTTGCATGGGTGCTGGGGTTGAACTCGGATTCTGATGCTCTACCAGCTGAGCTATCTCCCTAGCCCTACCCCCAAATTTCTTCTCGCTGACATATTTTGTTGCCGTATGAAAAACTGTATGAGGGGCACAGATTGGATTTGATGGTTAAAAACACAGTAGGACACAAAGATGGGTTGGAGGTGTGGGCCTAGGTGGATTTGAGGAAGAGATGTGAATATTAAAACACACTGTACTAAATTCTCAGAGGGTAAATACAAGTATTTCATTGCAACAAACTGATTAAATCAAATAATTATTTACAAGAGTTCTAAATTTTATTTATTTTATGCAGTATTATATAACTTTAATTTTCATCTATTTCAGGAGAATTAGAAATGCCACTAACCAATCTAAGCTTACCAAGGCAACATTCTCCAGTGAGTTCATTATGTGCAGGATTTCAGGCATTTCCATTTTCTGCTGTGTGTAAAATGTAAGTAAAGATTTTATCTAGAACCCAAGCTGCAGTTCAAGACAAGCAGCTGCTTTTTGTTTTGTTTTTGTTTCTCGAGACAGGGTTTCTCTGTGTAACAGCTCTGGCTGTCTTGGAACTCAGTCTGTACGCCAGGCTGGCCTCAGCTCACAGAGATCCACTTGCCTCTGCCTCCCAAGTGCTGGGATTAAAGGTGTGTGCCACCACTGCCCAGCTCATGATAAGCAGTTTTTAATGAAATCTCTCCATTTAAAGGCAACTTCTAAGATGCTGTTATAAGAAAATATGACGCTATATAACGTGTGTTATAAACAGCTGTGGGAAGGATATGAATATATATGTACACATCTGTTTTTTCCCATAGAATATTGTTAGATGATGACATAAGAAACACATAACACTGACTTTGCCTAGAAGGGAACTAGATAATATGACAACATGGTAGGAGCTTTCACAATATAATCCTTTACAATAATATTTAGAATTTTGAATGTTAATATGTTACTATTAAAAGTAAATAACTTGAAAGTTTTAAGATCCTGACATGGAAATAAAATGATTAGGAAATTGCCTTTGAACACTGCCAGTGATACTCACTGCCATGAAAGGCACATTGTATTAGTGTATTAATTCCATAACAAATACCACAGACTGGATGGCACGAACAATAATCTTTTATTTCCTCATAGTCCCTGAGGCTACTGAATAAAGTATTTGCTGGGTTGGTTTTGGTCATGTAGGATTAAGAAATACTCTAATGACTTCATTTACCTAGCTGCCTCTTTATTGAATTACCTCTTTATTAAAAGACCGTATCTCCAAACACAGTCATAGCCTGATATTCTGAGGATTAAGGTTTCACCATATAACTTTGGAGAGTCACAATGAACCCTAGAATAAGTGGTTTAAAGTTCTGCATTATAGTTAAATTCCCTGGCTCCATCACTTGCTCTTAATTGCTCTTTGCCTCAGTCTCTTTCTCTGTAGTGCTGGGTGTCTACTTCAAAGACTTGTTATAAGGTCTTCTAAAAGATGGTACATCTGTGGCCCAGAGTAGGTAAGGGTTGTGGAATAGTGTGTTTGTCAACTTATTTCCTGGAGAAGTACCAGGGAGTCCAATCCCATTTCTATTGGCGTATGTCCTTTGACCTTGCTTACCTATGTTATTATGGCGTCAGTATTGAGAATACCAGACATGTAGAACCAGGGGTCCATCCATAAACCAGTTCCCATTGTTATTGCACGGAATGGTCAATGGTCTTAGAATTGATACTGCAAAGCTAAACCATCATATTCTAGTTGGACCTGAAATTGTATATCTTAGCAGTCCAGGGTACTTGACTGCTGACAGAGTCTGAGGTAGCTTTGGATGCTATCTTTTATTATGTGGCATACATAAAGTTAGTGTTCTCCCAGATAAGTTAGTCTATTATCTTGGAATAAAGCCACTCAACTTTGCTTCTTATTCAAGTTACAAAACTAGGAATATAATCTGGACAGTCATCTTCACTCCCTTTGTAAACTGGAACTTAATGTGTCCTAAATCAAACACCTCCAGGAGAATTACAGGAATGCCTGCAAGTTCCTTGTGAATGATCCCTAAGCTGCTCTTGAAGATCAGCCTGCTCTAGGGAAGCAGTTGCAGCAAAGGTCCTAGAACTCATTATGAGTTCTGTACACATCTTTAATGGTCTGTTTGGTGTCTAACTGAGACATGGAGGAGCCAGCACTGAGTGCCCTAAGTGTATCTTCACATTCTATTTCAGAATTATCTACATTTGTGGTGCAATGTTATGCTGTATAGAACTCTACCATGAGTTTGGCTTGTCTATAGCATGAACGAGTCTGGAACAGCACGGCATAAGCATGCAATCACATATACTTTGCTTAATACTTTAGTCCCTCTGCTAAGGTGAAAGGTGTTTATTTTCAGGACACAGTAATCTTTATTAGGCTCTTTCACTGTCTTATTTACTCTGTATATTCTAATCTGCCCGAGGAGGCAGGTTGGCAATCAGAAACAGCAACCAGTATTTATTAGTATAATCTTAAATTTCAATTAGCATTTAAATTTTATGTAGTAACTGTAATAACTCTTTAATCACACAGGCTATTTTCTATATATTGATAGAACTCAAATATCTAGTGAGATGTATTAAATAGTTATTTCCTAATGAATTATGGTTTGGCAAAGTTAGAACAGAAATGGCTTTTAAAACAGTTAATGATTCTAGAGTCTTTTGAAAGTATTGAAAGTTATTGATCACAGCAAGAAATAAGTCACTTCCATCTGACTTATGGCTAAAACCTTTAAAATTCCCATTGAAAAATGGCTTTAAATCTAGTTGTAGATATTACTCCTATAATCCCAGCATCTGGGGGCCTGAGCTGTAAAGTCATGAATTTCAGACCAGCCTGGACTACATGTTGGTTACCTGTATTTTAAAAAAAAAATGTACTTCAATTATAAAGCTTAAAAAATGTAAAATCTTTTAAAGAACTGAGATACTAAGTAATGCTGCTGTACCTTTGATTTATTTGTAGTGCCTACTGCATGTAAGACCCTCGTTAGGTTAGAGAGAGAAAGCGAAGTCGGGATGAAATAACGTTGTATTTCCTTACTAATTGACATGGGAAATATGTCTTTACATTAAATAAATATTTAATGTAATTAAATAAATAAAAGCAAAATATTTGCTTTTATTGGGCATGGCTCTCTGAAGCATTTCTCTTATTTCCACTTCAGGATAATTATCTACAATCTGAAGTGTATTATTAAAAAAAAACCTTGATAAATTTCAAAATTGTCCTGATTTCCCGTTTTCTACCAAATGACCAGATTTTTGGTTTTTGTGGTTGAGATCTAAAAATCTAGGTTTCAGTTGACCCATGTTGTCAGTAGAGTATCGAGAAGACTTACCATTGCCATCCTTATTTATGTTCCATGTGAACTGAGAATATAATCAATTCTCCATTTTAGTGGAGATGGGAGGTTTGGGATGTGAGGACTTGTAAATCAATAGTCTCTCCCCTACGAGGGCCCATAGCTTCTTAGCTACTAATGAGCTGTGGTTGACATTAACTCTCATACACATTTCATCCTTTCTCCTCTGCACTCCAAACTAGCACACAAATTTTACACATAACCCCCATTATCTACCAAAATTTAGGGGCTTGATCTAAATTTAAGACTTTGTCACTTCTGGAGAAAATAGGGCCAATAGGATTTTTTGTGTAGTTCTGATTTTTAGCAACAGAGAGACTAGAATTTCTATAGATAATGGACTCAAGGATAGAAATTTATATAAAAATAGTATTAGCCAGGCGATGGTGTCACACACCTTTAATCTCAGAACTCAGGAGGCAGAGTCAGGCAGATCTCTGTGAGTTCAAGGTCAGGCTGGTCTACAGAGCAAGATCCAGGACAGGCACCAAACCTACACAGAGAAACCCTGTTTCGAAAAACCAAAATAAATAGATAGATAGATAGATAGATAGATAGATAGATAGATAGATAATTAATTAATTACTTAATTAAAAAAGAAGTGATTGTGATGGCTAATCCTTACTGCTAACTAGACTTAGAATCACCTAGGAGAGTGATGAAGCACACTCATGGGTGTGTGTGACTGAGGATGTGTCCAGAGGGCATTAACTGAGAGGGGGGAAGGCTCACCTTGAATGTAGATGGTACCACCAATGGCCTTGGGTCCTGATGCAGGAGGGGAAGAAGAAGCAAATAAGCACCAGTACTCCCTGCCGCTGCCTTCTGGTCAGCCATGAAGTAAGCAGCTGTCTCGTGCTTGCTGCTCCTACCCCGTGACGTATACCCAGGCGCACGGGACTAAGCTCATGGACTGAACCCTCTGAACCCATGAACCAAGTGATATTCTTTCACTTTAATTGACTTCTATTTAGCACTTGGTTGCAGTGATGAGAAAATTAAATAATATAGAAAATATTCTGGGGCTGGAAAGATGGCTCAGTGGTTAAGAGCACTGGCTGCTCTTCCAGAGGTCCTGAGTTCCATTCCTAGCAACCACATGGTGGCTCATAACCACCTGCAATGAGATCTGTCGCCTTCTTCTGGCCTGCAAGAACACATGCAGGCAGAACACTATACATAATAAATAAATCTTAAAAAAAAAAGAAAGAAAGAAAGAAAATATTCTTCCCACTGTCAACGTCACACCCAGACATATCACTTTAAACCACAGCATCCCATCCTTGTCCCACAAAGGCTCTTGTCCAAATGCATTCAGTCTATCTCTTTGAGCCCCAGAGTCTTAAAAGTTGTACATTGTTTGAAAGACCAAATTCAGTCTCAGTTGAGACTCAAAGCAGTCTCTTACTTGAACTTCCGTAAAGTCAAAAAGAAAATACGTACTTCCAATGCATACAAGGGGACAGAGTGACTATTCCCACTCTGAAACCGAGAGAAGAGTGTAGAAAGGAAGGGTGAAACCAAAGTGGAACCCAAACCCCAAAGGGCAAACATTAAGTCCTGTAGTCTCGCACCCAGTGTTCTGATGTGTGCTCCATGGGGCTTGGACAGCCAGCCTGTGTGACCTTGCCATTTGCAGCTCACATGACACCTGCCTTTATTAGTTAGGGTTTCTACTGCTGTGATGAAACACCATGGCCAAAAAGCAACCTGGGAGGAGAGGGTTCATTTTGCTTACATTTCCACATTACAGTCCGTCATAGAAAGCAGTCAGGACAGGAACCTGGAGGCAGGAGCTGATGCTGAGGCTACGGAGGGTGCTGCTTACTGACTTGCTTCTCATGGCTTTCTCAGACTGCTTTCTTGTAGAACGCAGGACCACCAGCCCAGGGATGGCACCACCTACTTTGAGCTGGGTCCTCCCCCATCAATCACTAATTAAGAAAATGCCCTACAGGCTTCCCTGCCTACAGACTACTGATCTTATGAGGTTCCCCCCTCTCTGATGACTTTAGCTTTTGTCGAGGTGACAGAAGACTAGCCAAGACACTCTCGTGGCTCCATTCATTGCCTACAGTTCTCCTCGTAGATGACCTGTATTCTGGCAACTCCAGCATCCTGAGGTCTTCACTAATCAGCTTCATAGAGGCTCACTGCAGGACATCCTGTGGTGGTAATCTAATTGTACTGAAATATTATTTTGATTGTATGTTAATAAATAAAGTTGGCCGGGGGTCAGAGCTATTAGAGCCATAGCAAGA